CTGCCCTGCCAACCCAGCACCCATCCACCCTGCTGACCCAGCGCCCACCCGTGGCTCCTCCACCCCTCGCAGAGCCGCTCTCAGCAGCACCAGGCAGCACGGATGACCCAGTTAATGTCACCATCACCGTGACAGCGACACCGTGACCACTCCTCATTTCCCTGTCCTGCTCTCTCCCGCACCACGGGACGGCAGCACCCACCTGTGCTCCATTCCTGCACCCGGCTCAGCCCCTCCGGCTCAGCCCCGGGGCTGCAGTTACTGCTGGAGCTAAAATAAATATTTAGGCTACAGTAAATAGTTTCTCACCGATGGCAGGAAAAAAGGCCGAGGGCCGAAGCGCCGCTCTCAGCCCCAGGGCTGGCATCGAGTGGGGATGCTGCCTGGGGACTGTGCTGAGCTTTCTGTGGTGCAAGAACAGCCACAAAGCTTTTTGTGGGAAGGGGCCTCATCTTCACCCCCAGGCTCCCCAGTTTCAGGCCAAACCACAGGAGGTTAAAAATAGTGACTGGAGATGGTTTTTCCCGCATTGGTGCAAGCACAAAGGGAAGCAGGGTCCAAGGGAAGTGTCAGGCAGATCCCAGCTTTCCTGAGTCCTCATCCTCTGCTGTGTGTGGAGACAAGGGCACCTTGGGCCATTTTCTCCTGTATTTGGTTAATAATAACCCATTGGGAAGTATCAAGCTACACAAACCAACCCTGATCAGTGCCCACAGAGTATCAGTCCCCACAGCAGCCATAATGCAGCATTGATCCCTTTATCAAACCACTCCCAGAAATACAAACCCCACCCAAACCTCCTGCAAAACCATCACTTCCAAACACAGAACATTCCAAAGGGATATTACAGCTTCTCTGGAAAGCAGAGCATCTTTATCTGACACACCCACAACACAGGGGAGGTTTAAGCAAAGTTGTTTAAAACCATGGTTCAATTTCCGTGTTTGGGGAAAACGAAGCAGCCACAGTTGAATCCCAACCACTCATGGGCCAATCTCTGTGGGAAAAGCCTTGCAGCAGATCCTGCAAAAGGAAAATCCAGGCTGGGAGGATGAGATAAACAAAAAGGGAGGAGGGAGATTTGTGATGGCTCTGGGGTCTGTGGCAGCCAAAGCCCATGGGTGTGAAGTCCATGGTGTGCAAAGAACTTTGGAATAAGGCAGCTCTACCTGGGAGGAGGCACAACCCTAAAAAAAGGGCAAAAGAATAAACAGAACCACAAATAATGCAATAGAGAAGGCTTTAGGGACAGCTCAGTGTGGTCTTCAATTACCTGAAGTAGGAAGGAGATTGATTTCTTATACACGCAGATATACAGGACAAGGGAGAATGGTTTCCCACAGCCAGAGAGAAGGTTTAGATGGGATATTGGGAATAAATTCTTCCCTTTGAGGGTGGTGAGGCCCTGGCACAGGGTACCCAGAGAAGCTGTGGCTGCCCCAGTCTTGGAAGTGCCCAAGGCCAGGGCGAATGGGGTTTGGAGCAGCCTGGGATGGTGGAAGGTGTCCTTACCCATGGCAGGGGTGGAATGGGATGAGCTTTAAGGTCTCTCCCAAACCAAACGGTTCTGGATTCTATGAAATATAAAAACCCCATCCCAACACTCAGAGCAGCACATGGAGCTGCTGCTACCAAAGCAGATCTCAAGGGCTTCCTCCTCACACAGACACCACTCCCCAAACCCTGTGGTGCTGGAGCTGCAGCAGCAGCCCTGAGCTCCCCAGGGCTTTGGAGAGCTGCAGCCAGGCTGGCACAGCTCCCTGCCTTCCCCACTGGCCAGGGACACGCTGCTCTGGGCTGCAGGCGTCACCCTGGGGTGGCCATCTCTGTAAATTGTGCTTCATTTCTGGGGCTTTGCACTGTGACTCGTGTGGGGGGGAGGGAGTGCTTTGCAAGCACTGGTTTGGTTTATTTTCTGGGATTAAATTGGGAAAGGAAAAAACACCCAGCCAAGCCCTGCAGTTAAGGTTGCAGCACCTCCATTGTGCTGTGTCCAGGATGGGCAGGTTCCTCACGGTGCCCAGAGCTGCTGGGAGCTGTTTCACCAGGACTGGTTTTGTTTCAGAGATACCCAAACTCTTAGTAATCCCTCAAACTGGATTTTGTCTTCTGTGAGTGGGAAAGTGAGACAGGCTGGATTTCCACTTGTACTTCTGCAGAAGGGTTATTGAGCACCTGAAGACACAGTCACTGACTCAAGTTCTGCTTCAAGCTGCACAGGACAGACTCAACCAAGGCCCATTTTCCTTACTGATCTTCTTATTTCTTCATCAGGATCTTCCCAGAGAAAGCAAGAGAGGCCAGGAGGTGTTCATGGAAAGGAAGGTTGAAGTGCCATGTCACTGAGCTGCCAGGGAGGTGGCAGCTGTTGGTCATTTCAGACCTGCTTAAATCCCTCTCTTGGGCTCCCCAGAAGTGCTTGTCCCACTGGTAAACTGCCATGGAAACACACTCCACATTTCCCATCCTCATTCTTTATATTATTACAATTCTTTTTTATACACATAACCAGGCTAGTTTTGTGGTGTGTGTGGGGGAAGAAAAAAAAAAAAACAACAAAAAAAGGGATTTCAAGGCATAAATAATATAAAAAGGCAACCATTTTGAAACCAAGATACATTCATATGACACTACTACAAAAAATAAATAGTGACTCTCTCTGTTATAATTAACATCCCCCCGTGACTCCCTTTCAGCGGTGCAGTTCCTGGCCTTGAGTGGGGACACGGTCACTGCCTCAGGTTTCCTGCAGCTGGAGCTGACAAAGGTCCCCAGAACCATTTAGGGTGACTCCGGATGAACTCCATCCTGGTTTTTCCTTACAGTCCTTGGAAAGAGGCTGAAGAATGAGGGGACTCCAACTCAAAATGTGGTTCGACGTTTCCGAGTGCAGGAAGCTGCTGCCTGCAAAGCAAGAGCAGGGCACGTGGTTGGGTTGGGTTTTTCAGATTTTCCGTTAGTTTAACAGAACCACATGCCCCAAAAACTCTTTAATTCCAGTGGGTGATGCTCTTTGGGCTCAGGCTCATTCCCACCATAGCAGGAACAAACACAGGGCTCTATCCCAGCACAGCACCTGTATGGAACAGCTCAGAGGAGGTTCCAGCCCTGGAATAATAAAACCTGCTGTGAGCTGAACACAGCTATGAAATAATGCTGAACCTTTAGGATTCATTAGCACGTGGTCACAATTCACAAAACTGCTGCATTCACCCCAAATCAGCAACAGCTCCAGGCATGTGGTGGAAATGGGTCAGTGAGGAGTTCGTGGCACCAAGACCACACTCCTGATCTGGCACAGCCTGACAGAGCTGTGTCCACCTGAACCTCCCTTCCCTTCCTGCCTGGGGGAGCTGCCTGATTTCAGCCCACAAGCAGCAATGATTCCAGGGTGGGACGAGGAATGGGTTCTCTTTTCCACCAACAGAGACGGGTCCCTCCCTGTGCCAGCTCCTGCCTCCAGGGCGGCTCTGCGACGCTTGTGTCCTGTGCCAGGGCCACTGGGTGTGCTGTGAGTGCAGCATCCATCAGTCACAGCCTCCTTATGTGCCAATGAGCCCTTTCTAGAGGCATCAATCACAAGGGCATGACAGGAGCAGGCGCTGGAGCAGCACTGCTCCCGCTTTTCATGATGGGAAAGGTGGGACACTTCACCTTCCTCCAAGCCTGCTCTTACAGGTGTTTAATTCCTGGCTTTTCTGCAGTGAATTAAGCTCCCTACAGAACACTCCCAGCCTCCCAGGCAGGGATATCCCCTGAGGGTGCCTCACCGTCCATGCAATCCACGGAGAGCCGCTGGCCGATGCGCTCCCGGCAGCAGGGACGCTGTGCCGGGGGCTGCTCCGCGCCCTCCTCCTGCTCCTGCTCCTGCTGCAGCTCCAGCCCGGCGCTGCACTCGGGGCCGCCCGGGGCCAGGCACATGGCCACCATCACATGGGGGCTCAGGGGCTTCATCTCCACGCCCTCCTGCTGGAAAGGGGCTCCCAGGGGCACCACGGGCAGCGTGCTGCTGCCGAAAGTGCCGTTGGTTTTGGTGAAACACCTGCGGGAGGGACAGAGGGCAACGTTACTCACAGCGGCTTCTTCTCCTCTTCCTTCTTCCCTCCCCAGCTTTTAAATGTTTTACCATATCAACGATCAGAGCATTTGTCAAATTAGTTTTAAATATATCTGTGGAGCGATTCTGACATTAAGAAAAGGATTGAGTGGTTTTTTTTTTTCTCCCAGCAGACAGCTGAAAACATTCAAAACACGCTCAGTTCCTTCCCCCATCAACTGAGACCCAATGACCTGACTTGTGAGTCCATTTCTCCATCAAAGCAATTCCATAAAACATGTTTTCACTGCCAAGATAAAGAGCTCAAACTTGAAACCCAAGCAGCACACTTAGGTACCTTGAAAAATAAATACTAAGTGTTATTGGAGTGAATGCAAATTAGAAAAATAGATGCAATATAACAAATTTAACCCCCCCTGTTCTGCTGTGTAAGTCAGACTGTGGCCCTGTAATACCTGTGTAAAGCTGTGGCACTGAAGTTAAAGTGCTGAATCAATTGTTACAGCTGAGGTATTTAAGCTTTAAACAAAAAGAGCAGGACTTGCAGCAGGAGGGAAAAAGGGAAAACACCTCAGCGTTTGCAGCCCCGTGAACAATGCAGCCTCAGGGAACATTTATAGAAACAATTCCTACATAAGAAAGCCATAACTACCCAAAAAAATAAAAGGTTCACTTGTGCAGCTACCACAAATTTTGAGAAACTACACATCAAGATGCTCCTTGTTATGTGGTGCAGGACAGAGATGGATCTGCAGATAAATGCATGGAAATAAGGATGCAAAGTGTTCACAGCCTCCAGTGACACCCCAAAATGCTTCTGTGAAAGCTGAACAAGCTCCAGGTCTTTATGTGCTGGTGCAGATACAACTCTGAGCATCCTTTCTCTTTTTTCTGACCAGATGTACACCCATCTCTCCTGCTTTGCTCACAGGATCAGCCAATGCACTTGCTATCCATCATCCCTGGGGCTGTCTCAGACTGCATTTGGAAATACAAAAATGGATCTCTGGGACCTGCCTGCTCAGCAAAGAGCACTGGGTGCTGCTCCAGACTGATTCTGGCCCAAACCTGAGCAGAGCAGATGAAAAATTGCTGAAAATGAGGAAAGATGGGCTGGGACAGCAGCAGTGCAGGGCAGCAGAGCTGACACTGACAGCAGCCCAGCACTGAGCTCAGAAGGGTTTCAAACCAGGACGTGTTAAGCTTGGCAGTCTCAGTTTAGTCCTGCCCAAGTCCCACAAACCACTTTTATGCCATTAAAAAAGTCATGGCAACAAGGAAAACCATCACACTGGAGGCTGCTGTCCTCCAGCCCTGCCTAGAGCCTCAGTTCACACCTGAAACCTGATCAAAACCTGGGATCAATATTGCCAGAACTGAAAGGGCAACAAAACATCCAACAACACAAATAAACCTGTCAGAGGAGGAGCTGTAATGAGCTTTCCCTCAGGCAGATTCTTCACCTGCAAAGCCAGAACAGGACAAATGGGCTCCCTCTGGAGCCTGCTCCCCTCCCAAAAGCTGTGAGGATGGAGCAGCACTAAGCTTCAACCTTCACTCTCCTATTTTGTCCTCCCACTCCTGTAACTGCCTCCAAAATCATTATTCCAAGTACCAAAATACCACAGAAGCCACTGGAGAATCCACATGAAACACATCTGGTCCTCAAACAAATCCATTTATTAGTTTGCCTTTCTCTCCGCAGAGGTTTTGACTGCACTCACTTATTATTTAGGAAAAAAAAAGCTCAGAGAAACCCATCTAAATGTTTGGGTTTGCATGTTTTGGGGGTTTCTTCTTAAAGATACAGGGGTCAGTGAAGTTCTCTGTGTTATTGTAAGAGCTTGAAGGATGTTTCAACAGCAGTTCAGCCTTCTAAGCTTCAATAACCACATTTTGATGGAAACTAGCCATGGGGATAACCAGAGCAGAGTGTGGAGGAGGAGTGATGTAAAATCCCTGCTGGGAAAACACATCTTCTGTCAATTCTTAATTCTGAAATCCTGCTAAACTATAACCTAAAAAATCATAATTTAGATGAAAAGGCTGGAAAAACAAACTGATGTTCCTACATCTATATTGTGTATTTCAGATTTCTGATCAAAATAGAGTGAATTTGCAAAGGAGAGAGATCTGCAAAAGTGTAAATTCCTCTGCCAACGTCAGGTATCTTGAGAGCTTTAGCACAAAGGCACAAGAGGAGAAAAAAGATCAGTTCTCAATCCTGTCAACCACAGGCTTTGTCCACAACAGCAAAGTGGGTCTCCAGTTTTCAGCAGCTTCTCCCTCTGGCAAGGCTCCATGAGAAGTTATGAGGGATAAAGTGCTAATTTAAACAGAAGACCCAGGGATTTCAGCACTGAAATAATAAAACCTGCTCTGAGATGGCTGTTGCTGAAAACAGCTATGAAATAATGCTGAACCTTTAGGATTCATTTGCACGTGGTTACAATTCAAATAACTCAGCATTCACCCCAAATCAGCAACAGCTCCAGGCATTTGGTGGGAATGGGCTGGTGAGGAATTCGTGGCACCAAGGCCACAGTGCTGGTCTGGCACAGCCTGACAGAGCTGTGTCCACCTGAACGCCCTCCCCTCCTGCCTGATCTCAGCAGGGATTCCAGGCTGGCATGGGGACAGGGGCACAGCCCTCACCTGTGCCCTGGGGCTGAACAAAATGGGGAAAACGCTCCAGCCTCAAATTCCCATTTTCCAAAACCTACTGGGCTGGCTGCACTAACCCAACAGCCTTCCTCCTCCTCCTCCTCCTCCCCCTGGGCACCCCCAGCTCCCTGGTGGAAAGTTCAGGCACGTCCTGGTCCCCTCCTGTCCCCTCTCCCATGTCCTCTGTGCATTCAGGGCGGGAACAGAGCGGTCCCTGCCGTGCAGCTCTCGGCCAAACCCAGGGTAATGATCCCCTCCGGGCCAAGGCAGCTCCCAGGGACAGCTTGTTTCTCTGTCAAGCAGTCAAATATAGAATGGGGCTGTGAAAACTCAAAGTTCAGGCCCCGCTGATGACCCGGCTGGGAGGAGCAGTGCAGTTGCAGAGGATGGAACTCTTTCCATCGCTTTCTTAGGGAGAAAAAAAAAAGAGCAAATAAAGAATTGAATGTGTTTAACGCTGGAAGCAAGCTCTTAATTACAGTGTAACACATATGGCATGCTCCAAATTACCACGAGGCTGCTGCACAGCCTGCTGGAAATCACAGCACTGGGGTGTGAGGGAATGCACTGCGCTTTCCTGAGCCCTGCCAGGGACCCTGGGCCAGGCAAGGCTCGGCAGCATTTCACTGTCATGCCCATATTTATGGGAGGAGAAAGGATTCAAAGCTCATTATAAGTGATATTTTAAAAAGCAAAACTATGGAAATGAAGTAAATGTGTTTTCTGCCTTCAACAACGTAATTGTTCAACAGGGGTAGGACTCGATGATGCTTGTGGACCCAACTCAGAATATTCAATGATTCAATGATTAATTTCAACTCAGCTTAGCCAGATGCACACCTAAAGGCAGCTGAAGACTTTAACAATACTGAAAAATCAAAGTATGATTGAAAGAAAAGCCCAGAACCCACCAGTCAGAGCAGCCCAGCTTGTCTGACTTTCAGCCGTATTTCTAATCATGAAAATAACCAGAGACTGAGTCAGAAGCCTAAGGAGGACAATAATTCCAAAAGTGAAAACTCAGTAATTTTTATTAGGTTTCTGACTCCCAGCTACAATGCAGAAGACAGATTTTCCCTAATTCTACACAGAAATCCTTTTTCACATGATAAAAAAAAGTATTCCACTCTGACAATGGTGGGTCATCTCCTCCTGAAGGCCTCAAGAACTTCAAATCCCATGTTTCACAAAGAACAGCATTGTGAAAGCAAAGGAGTGAGTTGGTTAGTGTTTTTAATGTCAGGAAGTGTAAAATGTAGAAGACCAATTAAATCCGATTTGACAAGCTCCATATGGAATGATTTTGTTATCTCAGAACTGGAGAAAAACACAGGAAATACAGATTTTTTCTAAAATCCAGTGCCCAACCTGCCTCACTTCCCAGAGAGCATCAGAGGAGCATGTTGAGCAAAGTGAGCTCTGGAATTTTAACAACTTGTTTTATTCTGTCCTATGGAAAATCCTCA